CTCCAGCGTATCAACCCAGCCACACAGCTTACAAAAACCCTCAGCCAGCTTGCATTCCAAAACCAGCCAAAGTTCTGTGAGTTTGGTTTATTTCTGTTATATGGCATATGTCATGTGGTACTTACTGTCCAGCTCCAGGTGTTTTCCTTCTCCAACATGTCTACTTCTGAGTATATCTCAAATGAGGGGAAAAAAACCCCAAACAAATCCCAAACATCTTACAAGAACGTGGATCAGGACATCATTTGAAGAAACTAAGACCATACACAGCCACCTGACTCCTCTGCAATTATGCTCACCCTTGAGAATGAACTTACTGAAAGTAATACTCCAAGAAGGCTGTAAGTAATGTTTCATGAATTTTCTTTAGGTGAACCAGGAGAAAGAGGAGAAAGAGGATTTCCAGGCAGAGGACCAAAAGGTTACCCTGGACCAAGAGGTCTTCCAGGTAAATAATAAGAGGGTGAGGATAAAGAACAAATGTAGTAAACATTTGTTCAGAACTGATCGCTTAAGCTGCCTTGAAAAGATGAAAGGTGTCGATTAAGCAATACACTTGCAAATATCAGTACTTCATAGGTAATGATGCAGTCACAAATCACAATTAAAAGCTCGTTAACTAAGGCGCCACCACCCCACTTACCTCCCTGTAGAAAGATCAGGAAAATGTCTATAAAGCATTACGAAAAAAAAGGTGCAATCACACATACACCCTCCCTCCCCATATATAAAAAAATTGCCTCTTTTTAATGTAAATAGATACACACACACACACATATATATATACATATAAATATATACACACACACACTAAAAAAAGGCAAAGAAAAGAAAAGAAAAAGGCCACCCACCCCAGGTTATGTCCTGGCAGCCTCTGCAGGCTTCAAAACCTTCATTCATAATTTAGAACATTCTCTCCTTTATTTTTTTGGTAATTAATTGCATTGTTACACAATAGGGGTCCAGGAGAAATTCTTGCTGATAAATGCAGCACAACCGCCCTCTAGTGGCCAGTGAATGAACGGAAACACGTTATTGCCATCACTATCTCCCTGCAGCAGATTTTTGTGTGTATATATAGACAAAACCTACAAAATCTGTTCTCTTTGTTAAAAAGAAAATTAAAAAAAAAAACCCTTTAGCATATACTGATACCCAGGACACCGGTGAAACGCAGAGTTGTTTTCTTTAGAAATCCATCATTGAAAGAGGCTTACTAAAACGAATGTATTTCATCTCTTCGTTGAAGACATAGAAGTAAAAAGACACCTTAGTACTCAGCAGTTCCACTCTATGTGGAGTAATGTAACTCTGAAGTACGAGTAGCATCTGCACCTTCCTGCACTGCACCAGCACAGCAGCCTGCAGCAGTGCTGCAATCAATCAGATCCGCTGCATAGCTTCTTATAGCAGCAGCAGATAATGCACCGGTGTAACTGGAGAGGATTGGACTGAAACTTCATCACTGTAGATGTGTAAACACAGCCTGGTTGTCTGCTAAGGAAAAACTCCCTCTAAGTAGGCAGCCCCCTGGGGAATCCGCCAAGAGCAGTGAAAACCATCTTCCTACAGCTTTTAAGAACAGCATGTTCAGTAAAGCTACATGCATACCAAGCAAGTCATATGCTGCCGATTTTTAGACCTGCATCCACTTTTCCAGGCGAACCAGGCAAACCCAGCTATGGCAGTGATGGCCGTGACGGAGAGCGAGGTCCCCCTGGAGTGGCCGGTCAGCCTGGGGTTCCTGGTCCTCCTGGCCCTCCCGGCCCTCCTGGCTACTGCGAGCCATCGTCTTGCAGAATGGAGGCTGGACAGAGAGCTGATAAGAACATGAAAGGGCCATGAATGGGCAACACGTGCCAGAAGGGTCAGCATCCATTTACTTCCTGCACAGACAGCTGAAGAAAAAAATAAGGAATGAAGGAGAAATACAAACAAGCAGAAAGCTTTCAATCGAGGTTTCAGCAAGGCATTTTTAGTACAGTTGTTGGACACTCTCCCAGCAACACAAGCTGGAACGATGGTGCTTACAGAAATACAGGTGGTGCCTCTGGCTCTTTCTCCTTTGGGGGTCCAAAAGGCACTTGTCTATTCTTATTTTTTTTTTTTTTAAATAAAGAGTTTCTGTGATTTCTCTTCCACCCCTACTTAATCCCTATGTATGATGTACAGTGAAACAATGGCTCTTCAGCCATCAAATAAAAAAGGAACAGTTTATTTACTTCAGTTGTAGCTGTTCTTTTCTGCTTATAAAATAAACTCCAGAGCCCTCCCAGGCAAATTGCATCACTTCAGGGACAGTCATTTCAGTGTACAGACGTGCTGAACAGGATTGCTAGGACTCCTTCAGCTCTTCATTTGCAGAAACACAGCTGGGAGGCTGTCCTTATGAAAACCTGCCACCCCTGACACCTTTTATACAGTAACACTGTAAAGGTACAATCACCAGGTTCTCATGAATAAGCCACACAGCTTAACCTCTTCATTTTCTACTCCAATTTGTGTTGCATCCATTATTTCATAGGAAGTCTATTCCAGCTTGTCTCCTTCTCTTTGAAATTAAAATCAAAGGCTGGTAGCCACTGCCAAGAGAATTCTAAGTCCCAGAAATATGAAAGGTTTATTGTAGAGATTACATATTTTGAAGATCTGTGGTTGTTCAAAAAGCAAATAAAGAATGTTTTAACCCCATGTTTTTGGACGTATGGTTACACGCAGTACCAATAAACAGAACAGCTAGAAGACAGCCATTAGACATCCCAAGTTGCCTTTTTCAGATAAACTCAAGTTTTAGAGGATAATGTGCAATGTGGGTATTTTGTTTCTCTCTGTATGAACCAAAATATCTGTGGTTTTGATTTTACCTTCTCTGAAATGTTTCTCTCTCAAAGACAACAACACAACCTTCCCTTTTGCTCTTCGTCATCCCAATTTTCAAATACAAACTTTGGCACACCTGCTTTAAGCTTCAATTTTTTTTCCTAGCCCTTAACTGTCTGTGTTCAATATTAACTGACCCGCATGCCATGTGAGAATATAAAGCAATAACCAGGTCAACTGAGCTGTGCATTTTGCATGTAACAGTAAAGAGAAAGGTACTGGTATAATATATACTCTGAAAGGCATTTCTGAATAAAATAATAGATTAGCCTTACCCAAACCGAACTGTAGCTGCATCTAAGAGCCGTGTCGCTGGCACCTCACGTGTTGACAGAAAATGCCTAAATGGAGATCATTTGGGAGGAAAACATCTGATAAAGCTGCCTACTAAAATAAAGTATATGTTCACATTTATTTGAGACTTTTGAGAACGAGTTAAATGGGATTAATGGTGATCATCTCTTAATGTCCCTTGCACAGCTCAGTATCTTAAAGGAGAAAATCTAAACCAAGTTGGATCTTAAGTCTTACCTACAAGCGTTTACTGCTCTCTTAGTTCCACAGAAGCAGCACTGGGTGAGATTTCAGGCAAAAGACAGGGGAAGAAAATGGGCATAAAGAAATGCACCATCCTTTGCAGGGACTCTGGGCAATCCTTGGGACAGCACCATTTTCCTGCAACCCGTTTGGCCAAACTCACAACTGAAGTCTCCTGTGTTAATACTACAAGAATAGATGACTGCAAAGAATTTTCTTCCTAAGAAACAAATCCAGGTAACTGCATACAGGGCAACTGCCTTGTTCACACATAAAGGTGTTCCCTAAAGTTTTACAATTAGGTCAGGTTTTACTGGTTTAGGACACAGCCCTCAAAAGTACCCATTATGTAGTGCAAAAGTAAAATGTTAGTGGTAATGACAAACTGTAGTTTCACCAGCAAACTTTTATTTTGATTATAAAGTGTGTAAAACTGTTCAAAAAAACCAACCCCCCAATAACAGAATAAAAATATTATTTTCCATATGTAATGCATAAACAAAATGAATCAAAAGAAGCAAACCCCCCCTCCCCCCAATATTTAAATACAAATGTGAAGTGCTTTAAAAAATATAGTCTGAAAAAATGCATAAAATGCCACAATGGAAAAAAATTCACATAGGAGAGAAAACATCCATATGTAAAAACCAAGTAAGAATTCTTACAATCAAATTCAACACTGAGGGTCATTTCAATGCAGCATCTACGTAAGTGGATAGCTTAAGAGCGTGACAGACTTTCTGCCCTCAAGCTGACTCACAAGTTGTAACTTGAAATACAGAACTGAAAAGAAATCCTCAAGCCCATTATAAGTTACTAAGGGACATGCTGATTAATCCAAGTATTTACCAGTTCCAAATCTTGTGAGGATTACCTAAAGAATGGTAGGCCATATACCAAAAAATAGCAGGAACTGAATTTTTAGTAACAGCACATTCAAGTAAATAAAGATTTGGAAAACAGACAGGATTCTGAATGTAAAAGGAAGGTGTCCAACTATGGTGCATCAACTACATGAAAAAAAATAGCACGAGTTTCAATGAACACATTTAGAAGGCACAAGCAGAGAGACTGAGAGGTTTCACAAGCCCCTGGCAGTGGGCCACTCATTCCAACCAGATGCTCCTGGAATCTTGGTGGAATCCTGAGTAAATCCCGTTCTCATCCCTTTCTGGTTCAACATAAAATGCTATGAGATGTTTTGAACAAAAGGCTACCGAAAATCACTTTTACCTGTCAGGATTTCTGTCACCTAATTCTGTGTCCTAATTCTGGAGGTTTAATTGCACTGTGATAGATACATACGCCCAGGCTTGCAGCCCTGGCACTGAACGCTCCCCAAGGCTTGCTGCAGTGGCTTTGTGCCTCTCCTTTCTCTCGGTCACAGTTGCATCCTCCCTCTCATGAGTTGCCATGGCAGGAAAGGTTGTCATTTCCGACAGAGCAACTAACAGAAAGTACATGAAATATTTCCATTTCCATCCAGAATCCTATTTCAGATGTAAATGGCCACAAAGTAATGTAAAAGGCAATTTTCTATCCACTTAATACATTTCCATTGAACTGAACCTTAAATGTTGCAAACCAGAAATATAATGGAGAGCAACGAGTTGGCACGTACTGTGATTCATACAGTGATAGATGCATAGCACTCAGAAATGAAAGAAAATGGTAAAATAAGGCATGTCATTGAAAACCCTTCAAACATACTGACTGGAGACGGAATATATTTACAATGAAATGGCAGTAAATAATTAAATGCATTTGTGTTTCTAGAACACCAGACTCGGAGATAAAACTGCTAAACCACGTGTAGGCTACATTCCTTTTAGCTACAAACTTAGTTTGGTCTGCACTCTGTGATGTGTGTTAGCAATTAATATTTGAAACCCACATTACCTTAAGGTATTGTGAAGCTGGAGTTTTCCACTTAAACACCAACCATAGCGAGATCATGGTTAAACTTGTTCTCTGTAGCCTACACTCACCTACATATATAAAGATGGATTTACACAGATCCATCCAGTGCAATGCAGTTGTAGTGGACATTAGAAATTTCAAGGAAAATTTGTATTTGACTTTTATATAAACCTTACAGAAAAAGAAGAAAATAAATGAGTGTACACTGACAGGAAGAACAATATTTCACCCTTGTGAAAAAAAAGCAGCGCCAAAATATTGTGTGTGATTACCCATGAATTTCAAAAATACACTTATTTATCAAAGCTGTGCATATCTAACATCTGTCATAATCCACGATCATAAAACATAAAGGACAGATGGATGATACAATCGATTGTGTTTCTGTATCACAGTGCTCTTTTAGCATTGAAACCAAATCCAGTTTAAGACAAAAATATTGGTTCTTAAAACATCTCAGTAGCCTGCACTGCTACTCGATCACATGAAGTGTGCTATTACAATTGTTATTAACCATAGCAGGCTCCCTGCTCCCCTAGAGACAACATCATTACAGGGGACACGAATGATGCCTGAAAGTGGGGTGTCCCACTACTGCATGTTCTTCTGTAACATGTATATATATATATACACAAAACACAAATAAAATCTAAGCAATATTACCTGAAAATAATTACCCGAGAAAGGTGGAATTTCTGCAAATACCACCATGCAAAAAGGAGCGGATTTTAGAAACAAAAAGAGGTCAGGCTCAAGGACAAAATCAGAAACACTGACTTGTGCTGAGAGCGTGCAGGCACTGGGTCCTTTCGGGGGCTGCTCAGTGAGTGAAGCCTGGGCTTTTTAGCCTTCGCACCGAAAAGACGTGTGGAACTCCACCGTGTGGTCAAAAGGAGGTATGCGGCAGCCTCAGGGAAGTTTCCCCCTTACCAAGTTTATCACCTCCTTCAGGAAAACCGAGTAGCAAAGCACGTAACTATTTGAAGAAAATCCCAACACTTTCTTAGTCGGTGATACAGCAACTTGCCATAAAATGTAATAGCCTGACCCTGAACTAGAACAAAGCTAAGAGAGCCTTTATGAAAGGTTTAAAACATATTGCCCAAGATATTTCAGTTCGAATTCCTGTTGTAAATAAGCATTCCCAAATCATAAAAAGACCGTATCTACTGGAAAAAAACCCCAATCCCCTGCGTTTAGCTCCTTGTGGTGCTCACTGCAGCACAGGCTGATCAAAACAGATACAAAACTGATAAAGCAAATTGCAAGATAGATGAGCACCTCTCTGCCCTCCCTGGCCCCTTCTCCAAAACTAAGACACCATCAGCCTGAAACTGTAGCCAAACCTGAAACCCATGCAGAAGCATGTTTCAAGCTACATTCCACGTTCAGTTCTAAAGATACAGAGTACGAGCAAGCCAGTGTGAAGTTAAACTGGGATTAACTCTGCTCTACCCCAGGGAAGAACGTGGCATCTTTAAAAAGGTATGGAGATAGCCCCTAGGAAAAAATACCCGTTTTCTCACATGAGAAAATTAAAGTGGGCTTTTAGCTAAAAAAAAAAACAACCCAACAAACAACACAAGAAGATAATTTCCAACATTACCTGCAAACCAACTGAAAGTGTTCAAATACATTTCAAAAAGACCTTTAGATTTGAGCCTATAAAAAGAAAAAGGCATCTGTAAGAAACATAGATGAAAAAATAAAACTTCTTCAAATATAAAAAGTGTTCTGCTTTCTGATAAATTCAAGTAAATTAACATACAGCAACTGCATCTGGCAAATACCAGACGCTGGGTTTCAGATAGCTAAAAGCCCCAAAATATACAGATAGCACTTAACGCGGCTCAATACCCTATGTACAGCCTTCCAGGATGGGGCTGCTTAGAAACCTCTCAGTCATGCAGATACTCTTCACAAGACAGCACCCTTGTGATATCATCACAGAAAAAGAAGTTTAAAATTAACTTATGAAGTAAAAAAAAAAAAGTGTAGATTTTTACATTATGGAATTACTAGAGAAGGAAAAAGAAATGGATGAAGAAACGTTCACACAAGATACCTGACCAGCAGTTCATTTGACTGAATGCAAAACAGTACGTTGGGCCTGTCCCTCTCCTGGTGTACGTATATACGGACATACGCACTGGTGCAAAGCCACAGCTTTACTGACTCTGCCGGCAGACCTGTGGCCCGGACAGCAGTAGCTGCCTCAGGACAGAGAAGAACCCAGTTTCGAGCCACCTCACCAGTTCCCAGTGTTAGCAGATCTATGGCACTCTGAGGACCAGATCTGCAAAGGTGGTCAACACACAGAGTAAACCACGGGCACAGGAGGTCTGGAATGGGAGCAGCATAGTCTGAGCTAGGCACAGGCAGGACCACTGGCTCCAAATGCACATTCACCCCTGCGGGATGGGTGCCCACCACCTGGAGAAGGGGCAGTTACTGCCTCCTGAGGGATGAGCAGGAAAGGTGTGAGGACTGGTATTCACCTGTGGGCTTTGACCTGTCTGTTTCTGTTCCCATCCTCCCAAGGCGAAGAATAAGCACCCTGATGCCTCCGAGGGGTTTCCAGCTGCAGGGGATTTTAGAGCTGGCAAATTCCCTCCAGGAGATGGTTTCATGGTAGCTGCAGGTTTCCTTCTGTCCTCCTTCCTGCTGCCCTTTTCTGTCCCAGGCCTCTCAGCCTTCCTTTGCTGTTCAAACATCTTTCTTGTGGCAAGCACCATCTCCCTCCAATATGTCAAGTAGGTATGATTTTCCTCTCTTGAAACCCTGCCGAAGGCTTGCGGGTGCTCCCCAGCGACCTGGGTTAACTCTACCACCTCTTGCTCCTCTGGCCTGGGTGCAAGTGCTAGGAACTCTGTTCAGAACAAATGCCAACGTGTTTCTTTTAAAGATGCCCACCAGTCATTTCTTACTGTTTTAATCAAAGCCCAGAAATCAGCCAGATTCATGTCTACAGCTTCTCTGGAACTCAGCACTTTTAATCTTTCAATTCGCGAATACTTCTCTGGCAGCACAAGCATGAAGTCACCAAAACCACTTTCCTGCCTGACATGGGAGAGAACAACTGGCTGCCTGATGATGGAGCAAGAGCCCTCAGTACTGCTTTTGTGTGGATTTATTTTGAGGTTGTGGGTTATAGGTGTCCATGTTCTCTCAATAGCACCTTCACTTCTTACTGCACTGTACCAGCCTCCATAGAACTAATCTGGGATCACCTGCTTCCTAATAATCAGGAGTAAAACTTTGGCCAACCCTCCTCCCTCCTTTTCAGAATCAGCTGCTGCATGATTGCTTTTCTCCATCTTTTCTTTTGCTCAACTACTTGAGCTCTACAGGACTTAACACTTTGTGCTGTTTTCTTCTTCACAGACAATGTCTGGTCCTGTAGGATCTACTGATGCCTGCAAACTGCACATGGTCACACTCTCTGTCGCACTTTTCCAAGGAGGGTTTTCCATTTTTTCCAACTTTCTCTTGAACTCCAGTGATTTTTTTGCAACCGGTTATTAGGACCTGTGAGTTTTGCCTTCTACTGTTTCCACGTTCCTCTCAAGCATATTTTGGCAGATAATCATTGCAGGACGAAGAGGAAAACTGTGCCACCAGTAAGATTAGAGGCTTGCGAAGTTCCTTCTTTGACTGTCTCACTGTGTACCCATAGCCCTCTGCTGGGACTACATCCAGTCAGGAGTGATGCTTCTCAGGGCTACACTTAAGTGTTTTTCCAGTCAATCTGAATGGATGGGATTAGAGAGATCATAAAAATCTCTTTGTTTCCGTCTTTGACACCTAGGAAGTGACTGAAACGATGGGTAGTGTTCGTGGTGCACGCCACAGACCTGGTTCAGAAGGTGTGCTGGAGCCTCCTCAAAGGACACGAACATTCAGCCTGTACAGAGTTCCCAGTGCTCCAGCTCAGGTCCTGCATTTTCCATGAACATGTATGCTCTAAAACTTCAGAAATGCATTTTTTCCACTTAAACTTCACCACCAGTGAGAAAAACAAAGCCAGCTTACATAGAGGCATACATACTGTCTTAAGTTATAATAAAATATTCTTTCTTTGAAGAAAGAAGCTTACAAAAATTGTTTGGGCCTATTTTCTCCTCTAAGCAAAATAAATACAAAGAAACAAAACACATGGAATGCACGCTGGAAAACATCTGTCATCATTTCATAATTATGACACTGCAAATAACATAGAAAAAGGCTCAATTCCGTGCCTTATAAATTACCTATATACCACGCAGTGTCGAGCGAAAAGGAAGATAAAATGCACCAAATATCTCAAATATTAAATTAACTCATTGAGAGGAGTGAAAAGTGACTGTGACCCCAAGTGTCTGGGGAAGAGGTGTTTATTTCCCACCGCTGCGTGACCGAGTCTGTGATATGTGGTAATAGCAATCTGACGGATTGCATCTCCCGTTGGGTCCGGCCGGCCCCTGTGGTCCGGGTAAGCCTGGTGTTCCTGGCGGGCCCGGCAGGCCAGTAGCTGGTAAAACAAAGTTAGAGTTAGCAGAGTCCTTGCCAGAGCACGTGCAGCGCCCCGCGTTTCATCGCTACACGCCAGCTCATCCGCAACAAGGCAAGTGGGTCTGACCTCATGCCACGACCAAGTGTCAAAAACCAGGAAAAAAAAGCCCATTAGTTCATAAACAACAATGGCAGAAATAAATCTGGAGACTTGTACCTGCAGGGCCGGGTGGTCCAGGGTTACCGAGCAGTCCAATTCCAGGCTCGCCTCTTTCCCCTTTCTGTCCTCTATAACCTACACAGAATAAAGATATGAAAATAAGAGCATCCTCTTATTATAAACAGTGATCTGCCAAATATCTTGTTGCCAGGAAATCGTCAAGACAAATGTCATTGGGAAAACACATGCTCACTTCTTTTTCTGAGAGTGGTATTTTCTTTCCAAGACAACCCTTTTAAGTTCCTTCTGGAAAATACGCTCATTTCTAGCAGTGACTGTTGCACCCTCTGCCAGAGGACCCTCACTATGTTCACTAGCCGGATCATTCCCACAGATTTTAAGTTACCTTCTTGAAGTTCCTTTAACAAAGAACCAAATACGTATTCTGTTCCAGTGCTACCTGTTCGACAAAGTGAGGAAAGCACTAACCCAAAGGCCATCTGGAGTCTGACCAGCCCTTCTCTGTTAGCCCAGAAACTGAGCAAGACTTTGCCCTTTCCACTCCACGTAAATCTTTATGGCTGTGTTTTTCAGACTGTACACTGGTAGCTGTATGCTTAGATATTCCCCCTTACACAAGAGAAGACCCGCTCCCCTGCCAGTGTTACTCAGCTGCCATCACATGGACCGAACTTGTGCAGACTTGGGGTTCTAGCATGTAAGGCCTACTTTGATCCAAGTAGCTGTATATTGCTAACAAGGGGTGGCTACTAATTATACTATGAATATTTCAGTCCATTTTCTTCACAGGCCATAGCTCTGTATTTATCTAAACAGCATCTTCTTAGATGCTGCAACTCACGTCCAACCCGTTTCTTTTTCCTTAAACTGCTTGTAAAACACTACTAGTTGAAAGCACTCTGGCTGCTTTAAAGCAAAGGACTGGTGGCTATCACTGTAACATTTTCCTTAAGACTTCAAGTTAAGAATCCATCTAGAAATTCACCTTTTCTGTTTAGACTATGCTGTTTATATAGGACAGGGAATGAAGGTATTTTTAAAGGAACACAGGTGACAGCTGCCACAATCCCTTACTTTCAAAGGGGTTATAAGGAAACCCTCTTCCCTCTCAACACCTCAGATGTTGGCCTATAAGGTGATCTGTGTTGAAGGTTAATTTGCCCGCTCCTGGTGACATCTGGAATTAAACTTGTTCTGCATCAGAGACCAATATATTTCCAGTGCCGTGTATGCCGTACAGTAAGAGCTGTAACTTAGTTTAAATTAAAAGAGTCACGGCTGAGCAGTCAGCATAGTGGCATCAATCCACTTGATGCCTCCTGAAGATTTATGGGTACTACCAGATGGATAGCAAAGGTTATCTTGTACTGTGGTTTGTTGCAACACTGGTACTTTACAGGACAATCCAGAAGGAAACTATTGTAAGGGCATGGGTACCAATTCAGGGTTGTTCCAACAGTCACAATGCAGCTGGAATGGTACACAGAATATGCAAGCTTTCTGTTAAACACAAGCTCATTATACACTTTGGTAGAAAGTCTTATTTTCTGTTGCAATCACTCTAGGTTTCAAAACAGAGCATTAATTATCTTAGTCTTTTCTCAGCACCCCAACAAGGAAATTAAAGTGAAGCAAAACCATTAGAAAACACATGCAGAATGACATGCATCATATAACAAAAAGCTCACACAGAAATAAAATTCATATTAATCATGCACCTGGTCACTGAGTTGTGTTAAGCAGAAATGTACAGGCATATATGCACACAAGCTCTAAGGACTCAGAACAGGGAATATGCAGGCGTTTACGTTCAATTGTGAATCCTGATTTTGCTCTTTACTGATCACAGCAGTATTTGTAACTACATCAAGTTGGTTTGCTCTGAAAATCTTGTGTAGCATGTAGTAGTTGCTACTGTTTGAGAAGCCCAATCATACAACCACAGGATCTATTACATTTACTATTTATTATATATGTTTCTTAATTTACATTAGATAGTTAGATTTCCCAGTACAAACCCAGCTAATTGCAATTTTTAAAAGTAATGCAGCCACTAATCATTTGTTTTGCATTTCTTCAGTTGTGGGGAAAAAAGAAAAATGACATTCAAGATTTGTCACATTTACAATCTCCATGATAATCATTACCATAAGTATCTGAGACATCTTAACTGAAAAGAAGCTGAGATAAGACTGAAAGATTCTGTAAACATCACTGGAATTCAAGACAACAAGGAAAAAAACCACTAGAATTGGAAAAGGGCAGCCTGACAACAAAAATATATGATCCAGGGTAGTCTAAACCATCACTGGCTGTATCTGAACACACATGCAAAGGTGTAGTTTGTAGTTCTGATGACAATGAAGTTTCATACAAACATTCCCAGATATCTTAAACTAAACATAAGGCTTTATTTAACAGGGTGTAAGCTAGTAAACAGGCCTATATGTAAACAATCTGAACAATGTAATGTGTAAATCTGGCAGGAAAATATTTGATTTTTAATGAGGTATCTTTTGCTCAGAAATAAGGCCATGATTATACTTCTGGAGGATAATATCACCTTCTCTCTGAGCTTAAAGTGACAAACTCATACACAGTCAATGGAAAATATTACTGTACATGTAAATCAGATTTTAATTGTTTTTAATGTAAAGGCACATATAAGATGTTGTCTATTTTTACTGGTAGAATTACAATTCCAGTAAGACATACCTGTTTAATTCAAAAGGTAACTGTTTTAGAAAAGCATTTTATTTGGGTTCCAGAAGCTTTTTTGTGATTTCTGCAACCCAAAAGTTTTGATATATAAGTATGTACCCAATGTGGGCAGTAAACAGCAGCAGAAACAGCAGCAGTATGTAGTAAGTATGTGTTTATTCAGAAAAGCTTTCTTTTGCTCACAGATGAATGGTGATAGCTAAATACAGCTCTCAGTTTGGTGCTCTCCACAAACATCACAGTCAGAAGCATTGCTACCACAACATCCTCAGCTCTACATGGAAACCGTAGAATGATTTAAGTTGGAAGGGACCTTAAAGATTATCTAGTTCCAAAACCCCTGCCATGGGAAGGGACACCTTCCACTAGACCAGGCTGCTCAAAGTCCCATCCAGCCCATCGCTTCCAGGGATGGGGCAGCCACAGCTTCTCTGGGCAACCTGTTCCAGTGCCTCACCACTTCCACAGTGAAGAACTTCTTCCTAATATCTAATCTAAATCTCCCCTCTTTCAGTGTAAAGCCATTCTCCCTTGTCCTATCACTCCATGCCTTTGTAAAAAGTCCATCTCCAGATTTCTTGTAGGACCCCTTTAGGTACTGGAAGGCTGCTCTATGGTCTCCCTGGAGCCTCCAGGCTGAACAACCCCAACTTCTCTCAGCCTGTCTCCATAGGAGAGGTGTTCCAGCCTGCTCATCATCTTTCTGGCCTTCTCTGGACTCACACCAACACATCCACATCCTTCTTATGTTTAGGGCCCCGACCTGAACACAGTATAGAAGTTCATGACTATGAACTTCGAGGTAAAAAGTTCTCTTAATTAAACTGCTCCAAAAGGTATTCCACTGATATCATGGAGACCTTCTTCCATTCGCTGCATTGAAAATGCAGCATCTGCAACTAGCATGCCAAGTAGCTAGAGAAATCTGAGGTTCTTTAATACAAATGAGGCAAACACCTTATCATGACAAGGAACAATGAGACAACAGTTTATCATCTGCTGTGTTTTACTGTGCAAATACTCTGCATTCATAAAAACAAACAACTGCAAAGAAACAGGAAGGGTGCTAAAAGCAAGGCCTCTCATCCACCCTCCATATTCTGCATTCGTGCTTTGTGTTCTAGCTCTCCCAGCTAAGAGATGGTAGCTGGGTTTCAAATCAAAGTGAAACAGGTTAACTTCACCCTCCACAGCAACAAACATTTTACAGGAGGTGATGTTTGAAACCAGTGCAGCTATTTCAGAAGAGTAACTGTGTCTGAGCAACACCTACCACAGTGGGTTCCTGACACCAGCCGAGCAGACATCATACATCTACGTGCTCCCACCATACAAATTAATAATTCTAACAGGAGACTAAAGTTTTACAACAGATATTAGCAATGAAAATAAGGTACTTTTAGTATTCATCGCTTGGCATTTTTATTTCCTAAGCTGATCCCTTCAGGCTACCATGAGTTACGAAGACCTACAAAATACTAGTTTCCTTTATTTGATAGGAACAGTGAAGTTTAACTAAGATGAAATCTTGTTTTCTCTATTGAGAAAAAAACAACAGTCATGTTAACATAAAAGATCTTTGGATTACAAAATTCACGTACTATTATAATTCTAGAAATTCAATTAAGTCAGTTGAGTTAATAGATCTAGATCCTCTAACACATGACAAGCTGACTGAATGTTTGCAAATGGATAACATTGCTATAGCTTATCTATAAAGTCTTGAAATAAACTTCCTGTTTCTCTATGAGACAGTAGCATCCTTTAAAACTCATACAGAGTAAACAAGTTCCTCTGCTCCCCGTTAAGCAGATGGTGTACATTTCACTGGTAACACTGCCCCACAGTATCAGCTTGCTGATGTATGTGTCATAGATTATTTTATTAAAAATGAAGAAATACATATATATAAATCTTCCAATCACTATTATATAAAGTATGTTTAAATACCAACTGTATGTTTCATAATTTCAGTTGCAATTCTTTGTTGCTTTTTGTTTGCATGCTATACTTTTATTGAGACCATCCTATCAAATAAAAATTATTTGCACCTGAACCACTGGGAAGTACCTGAGAACATACCTTGCTGAAGGCCAGCAGGTAACAATCCTGAGCATCATTAGAAATGAATGACTTTATGCCCAAGAGCAAGGAATTGCTGTTCCTTACATAGGATTTCTGAAGGCAACACCTACACTTCCAAAAGCTAGTACCTATGTTTTCTGCTTCTGGGCTTGACCCCTACGTATTGTTTTGCTGTGCAGAAGGAGGTTCTTGTGGAATCTAGCCAGGTGATACCAGACCAATTCCTGGGGGAATTGGCAGCACGCTCCAGGTGTATGGAGGGACTCCTCCTCCTCAGAGGTACAGTGACTTTCCCACTGGCTGGCTCTAGCAGTCTCTCTGTTCAGTGTGCAGCATCACAAACAGGCTCTGGAGGCGTTCATAGAGGTCCTGTTAACTGCTCTCCAAAACTATCTACTTTTCACTGGCTGTAATGGGACAAGTGATTGTTTCACTCTGACAGCCCAGAAGTGTGTTACTGCAATCAGCAGAACTCTGGGGTTGGCAAGCTGGGCTACACCCAAGTGAGAAACAATAAGGAATACATGTCAGTCAATGCTAAATGTGTATTATGATTTGGGCATATGTGCACACAGCATACTACCTTGATGGACTCAGCCACACATGCACATAACACGCTTCTCCAAGCTGTCTTGTCTGCTATGTCTTTGTATATGGCTGAATATAAGCTGGAATATAGAAGGATACTTTCTAACCTGCTCAGAGACTTGAATTTCTTTTTACTTGTTTGCACAAAGCAGTAACATGCACAGGCACAACCGGGAAAGGGATGAAGGATGTTTGTAAGTGTGCTTCTCACAGGATTCTCTCTTACTTGGAGTGTAAAAAGGAGGCAAGACAAATTTTTGGCTTTCTTTGCTTGGAAGTATAATTTCAGATATCTTCTGATGTATCAGAGAAGTAAATGCTTCTCACTTAGCTTACCTTTTACTAATCAGAAAAGAGTATTGAGCATATCAGTAAAATAAATGGAAATCCTGCATACATGGGCACTACTTTTACTTAAGCATAAGGCATGAAAAAGCAGCTTTATTTTTTTTCAAGCACAGCTATAACCTTTACTCTTGATGCTCACTAGCTGGAAATGAAGCCTAGTACAGAGGTCCACTTTCCAGAAGCATCTTAGACTATCCACCACATACATCATTAATGAACAATCTGGCACTGACATTGAAGTTGACCATTTACAGTAATCTGAATGTTTAGGTAATGAAGAAGTCAGTGTTGTAAGATTCTAAGCCTTTTATTGTTTTCCTTGATCCTTTATTCTTGTTCTTCTCATTCTGAGCTCATCACATTTTTCAAGCTTCTGTCAGGGGTTTGCGCTTATCAATGTTAGTAATTCTTTATTCTTCTTATAGCTTTAGGATCCACACATCTTCAGCTTTACTCTCATGTTCTTCATTCCAGTCTGACTTGCTCTGACTCCAGAGCAGACCAAACTAACAAAAGATAATAAAGAACTCCCTACAGATAAACTGCAAACGAAATATTACCCACCCACAAAATATTATTAATCGGTAAATTCCTTTTTCCTTTTATTCTGTTCTCCTCTTCCTTTTAATCTCTGAGAGGCTGGCTCTGCAGTAGATCACAGCTTCAATAAGCCTGTATTCCCTGAAGCTAATTTTGCAGTAAAAGACAGTTCAGTGAAACAAGAGTCCTACGCTGTCCAAATGCAACGTACAAGTTACCATTTGGGGTATAGAGAACAGCTGATTACTCTGAAACTGATTTATGAAAATAGGTTACTTCACTGTAAGAAGAATTCATGTGCTAATATTTAATTTTTCACTGCTTCTTAAAGAATATTTGCCTTCAGTTCTCCCTCCCCTGTGTTGTCTCAGCATCATTGCTGAGAGCACTCAGACTTGGAGATCAAATTTTTTTTCTTAAGTAAGATATTCTCTTAATATGGAACCAGATGTAAATCGTTATGTTAGAGTGCTGGCAGTTGTTATTCCTTGTTAAAGTATTTTGGAGAAAAAAAATCCAAAACCTGGTACAGTAGTCTAGATACCTGTCAGCTTTAGGTATCTGTCAGTAATTAAGTGCATCACTTATTAGAATAAAATGCACTGATTAGGAATTTTTAATCAGTAAAATCCACACATTTACTATGGGTTAATGTTTAGATCTAGTCTGGAAAAACATAAGTACAGTTTTAAAAGTTAATAATTAGGAAGCTAGATGGGTAATCCTGCCTTATTTAATAATCATTAGCAAGTATATAAAGATTTCAAGATATGCTTTATGGGAACATTTGTTTTTTTAATTCCTACCTTGAATTCCACGTTCTCCTGGTGGCCCTGGCAAACCATCCTTTCCTGGTGGTCCCGGTAACCCATCTTTTCCTGGGGGCCCTGGTTTTCCATGCGCTTGGGATGCAAGCATTGCAGCAGGCAGCTTCAGCTGGGATACAAACTGAGCCATCCTTTCTTCATTAACAAAGGACATGGGAAAAAGCGGTTAAGAAATCCGCTTGCAAACTATGGGAAAATAAATGAATCCCAAAGCCCCAGGTAAAGTGTTTAATCCTTCTAAATGTCAAGGTATTAAGTGCTCCTATAAGTACAGAGGCCTTCAGTTCCAAGTCTAGACTCATGTTTGAGCCTTTACCCTTTGAAATAATCTGAATGAATTTGTACTAAAATATGTATTACCACTCTCTTTTACTAATGTATTCCAATATTTCAAATGACTTCTGACTCATTGAAGTACTTAAAAATACATGAACACAGAATACTTAGTATTTAACACCCCTATGAAGGGCTACCTTATATGTTTGTAACTTACAGTAAATTGCAAATTAGAGTTTTAATACTACAAATTCCAAGTTCTTGGAATATGCTGAAACCTTGAAAACAGTTGTAAAACAAACCCTGCAAGTGCTTAGCAAACATTATTAATTGCAGAGATTTCAGCATGAACAGTTTAAACTGGTGGAATAAAGTGCACTTTGTAACATTTCAGTGTTCCTTAGAGGTAAACAAAACAGGCGCTAACCTTGAATCTGTCTCATCTATACTGGATTAAAAAACTTAACTAAGTATTCCACAATTTAGCTGGTATTTAATGTGGTGGAGTTTCAGGAGTGGGCATCAAACAAAAAAGCAGCAAGGTGACAGAAAATAGGCAAAGTGAAACAAAGCCAGAAGTAGAAGATGTATGGGATCACTAATGAGGTGTAGAAAATGGAAGAGCTATAAAGACAAAAGCCAAAATTCCCTGTAGGCAGGATACTTTAGTATTTTATTTTTATGATTAGACTAAATACTTGTTACCATTCCATTTGAATGGGAAGCAGAGGTAACTTCAGCCAACAACATGCTTTAAAATACATAGTAGGTTGAAGTCTTAAGGGGTAGCAGTCCAGGAAAGGGTGAAAATACACAAAACGATAGCCTTGTTCTGAAGTGAAAAACTGCCTGAACAGTTTAAAAAGTCTCAAGATTTATATGATTTATTTTATCCCTGAAAGATAAAAGGTTTTGTATCCACAAATAATAATGACAAAATAGCTAAGCACATTGCAGACATAAGAAATGCATTTTGCAATGGAAGAGAAGCTACTGTTAAGAGATGTTGGAGCAGAAGCTCATTTTAGACACCTACCTGAGTTACGGCTTTTGAACCCTGACTGAGAAAATGCTGGGGAAGAAAAATACCTTCTTTTCAGAGTAAGGACATACCTCAGAATGCTTACATAGTACAAAGGCCATGACTGAATCTGGTACTTGCCTAAAACTGTGCCAGAAGACGGTGGTCCACAAAGGAGCTTTGGAGCACAGCAGGGATGTTGCTGAAAATGCACAGCAGTTTAGATCTGCATGACCGAAAAGCTGTCAAGCCTTTCTCTCATTTGGAGAGTCATCCACTGAGTGGCCAAAATAATTAGATCTTTCTCATGTCTTCTCTTTAATAAATCTTCAATGTCTTAATGATACCTATGTATCTGCAATAGTGTATGATACGTATATGTATCTACAATGATACATACATACGTTTGCTATCACGATTTGGAACAAACTACCTGTTAATGCTAATCTTCTACAGAACTAAATACTCCAGTTAACAGATACTGTAATTTATAATTGCCTGAACAGAGATATTGAGTAGACTTAAACAACAATTAAACATAGCTACAGCAACAAAGCAGCTGCCAAGTGCAATGGAAGTTACATGACACGTGAAGGCTGTAGGGATGTAAAACATTTAGAAGAGAATTCAAGATTTATGTTTAGTTGTATAATACTTCATTTACTTACCTTCAAAAACCTTAAGAACCTCTTGTTTGATGTATTTTTTTATTTCTTCGAGTGAAACTGTATCAGCCTGATGAGGCAAAGAAAAGGTGATACTTATCAGAAGAAAGAGAGGGCACTTTATAATGATACAAAAATTTAAAAAAAAATGCAGAAAGTATCATTAAAAGTGTAAAGCTTTTACCAAAAGTTAAATATTTGGATGTATTTGTGTTATTTACTTAACTGCTAAGATCACTGTATTGCAAATACATTATGATACTATAAAGACTACTAACACCATTCAGTGAAAGAGGCACTCCCAAAATGTCAAGATTATCAGCATGTTATGTGTAGTGAAATTAATTTTCCTGAAACAGTAAGGATGTCCAGTGATACCACTATGCATTACTTGCCTTTGGCATAGCATTTGCCAACTTCTCACTCCCTCCAGGGACTAACTGCTTTGATGCACAGCTGACTAACTAAAACTGCATCACATAACCAATAACTTCACTGGAAAAGTTTTTTAGAGCTTTATCCTATCTGACTGAGGGTAAAAAGAACTCACAATATGGATGTGTGTCTGCGTGCACATGGGCACAAACCAAGATATCTACAACTGACAGGCAGCATTTCGTTGACTTTTTAAATGTTGCTTTTTCTTTTACTATGAATCGGTTTTGTTTGCCTCCTTTTCCCTCTCAGTTACGGATTTATGCTTTAGCTCTTAAGCTTATGCAAAACTTGAAAATTAATGCTATTGAGTAACTATATTGATTTTTTCATGAGCTAAAAAAATAAATAACTAAAGTTTAAAGAGATATCTTAGTTTTTCTGACACTGTGGTACTGCTCAGTTGAATTTCCACTGCTCAGCACATGCTACTTTCAAGACATCTGAATTCACAAGCAACAAAACAAAACTTGTATTTACTTACCGGAAACCCTGGGGGTCCTGGAGAACCCGGGGGACCTTGATGGCCTGGTGATCCTGGATAGCCTCTGTCTCCTGGGGGCCCAACAGGACCTACATCCCCCTTTTCTCCTGATGGGCCAGGTTTCCCTCGTTCGCCTTGTGGACCTCTGTCTCCTGGAATACCCTGATCTCCCTGTGTAAAATAAAGGCAGACAGAAAACTATTGCGCACAGTCGAAAAAACTGGGAAAAGCCACCCAAGAGAAAATTCCTCCCTGTTCAGAAATAGATTTTATGAGTCAGGCAAGGAAGCTTATTTTACAGGCTAACCCTGGTTTCTGAAAACACAGCAAGTAGTATTTTGTTTGGTTGTACTTTCAGTGTTGAAGTCCATGACAAAAAAATCAGCTTGACTCCATAACCTATTTTGTTAGCTTGACTTCTGTAACAAGGACAGAACTTGGGTCCAGAAAGTTTACAGCCCTCCTACGAGGATTTACAAACATCAAATATGGCACAGGTATAATTCAGGTGCTCAAATTCCCCTAGGCACAAGGCATCAGGATTTTTCTGTAACTTTCCCCATAAGTCTGATATTTTATTTCTGCACATACAATTTCAGTTAAGAAATTTCAGTTAAGAAATTCAGTTAAGAAACAACAAATACACAAATCTATCAGTAATGAGTGAATTCCTTGCAAACAAAATAAATTAGAGGTCTGTGTTCTGGCCACCACCAACTTCCATCATGGGTGAGATGGCATTTATATTAGTTTGTGAGGAATTAAATCTCTTAGAGTCACTTAATGTATTAGCTATTAGTTCACTAAAGTACAGCTGTGGAGCAGAGTGCCACAAGTCACACATTCAGATTGTTAATGAACAGCTGGCAGTTCTTAAGGGTCACTGACTGCCCTTGAAGCTTCATTTAAGCTAATGTTAAGCTCCACCATGAGCAACAAGCAGCATCAAGAACTGACTACATCATTAATAGATAAATCCAGAATCTTCATTTATGAAGGGTGAATGAATGGAATTAATTGCATTCTTAATCTACAGCTTCTTAAGTCATATTTACATGACATGTAAAGATTGAAAGAGAGAAAGGTAAGGATGCAAGTAGGAGGTTGTATAACATTTTTATCACCTCTCTGTCCTCCAAACTCTATGATTTACAGTGAGTTAGAGCTTATTACTGACTATAACTAAGCTTCACTACAAAACCCACTATGACTTGTGAGGTTTTATTGCATTAAGTGAAACCATAACACATTCGCAATTGGAGTTTGAATTGCCCTAAGTAAGAGGCTCTGAACTCTGAAAGTCTACTGCAAGAAAAAAACCCCGCAAGTGCCAAAATCTGAGACCTCATCACCTCACACTTAAAATTTTAACCTCCATGGTGGGTTGACATTGGCTGCCTGCCACATACCCACCCAGCTGCTCTCACTCCCCCTCCTCAACAAGGCAGGGAGAGAAAATGAGATGAAAAGTGTGTAAGTCAGGATCAGGACAGGGAGATCACTCACCAGTTATTGACAGTGTAACAAAGACTGAACATGGGGAAGATGAATTTAATTTACTGAGAATTAATAACAGCAGGATAGTGAGACCTTCCCCTCAACCCACCCCCTTTCTTCCCAAGCTCAGCTTAACTCCTCACTCTTCTACCTCCTCCCCCTGAGCAATGCAGTGGGATGAGGAATGTGGGTTGTACTCAGTCCTTAACACTTCATCTTGGCTGCTCCTTCCTTCTCACATTTTTCTCCTACTCCAGAGTGGGGTCCTTCCTATGGGAGACAGTCCTTCATGAACCACTCCAGCATGGGTCCTTCCAATCTGCTGCAGTTCTTCAGGAATGGACTGCCCCAGTGTGGATCCCCCATGGGACACAGTTCCTGCCTGAAAACCTGCTCTTGTGTGGGCTCCACTCCATGGGCTGCAGGTCCTGCCGGAAGCCTGCTCCAGTGTGGGTTCTCAATTGGCTGCAGCTTCCTTCAGGGCACATCTACCTGCTCCAGCATAGGTTTCTCCATGAGCTACAGGATGGATATCTGCTCCACCATGGACCTCCACGGACTGCAGAGTGACAGCCTGCCCTCACCAGGATCTTCTCCAGCCTGCAGGATGCCGTGGTTTAAACCCAGCTGGTAACTCGGAACCACGCAGCCACTCACTCACTCCCCCTCTTCTTCCTCCCCCCGCTCCTGGAGGGATACGGATGAGAATTGGAGGAATGTAACTCCCACGGGTTGAGATAACAGCACTCCAGTAACTAAGGTATAATACAAACCACTACTGCTACCACCAATAATAATAATAATGATAAGGGAAATAACAAGGGGAGAGGATAAAATTGCTCACCACCCACTGATCGATACCCAGCCCGACCCAAGCAGCGATCTGGGCCTTCCGGGTAACTCTCCCCAGTTTATATACTGGGCATGATGTGCTGTGGTATGGAATACCCCTTTGGCCAGTTTGGGTCAGGTGTCCTGCCTCTGCTTCCTCCTGGCTTTCCCTCCTCCCTGGCAGAGCATGAGACTGAGAAAGTCCTTGGTCAGAGTAAACATTACTTAGCAACAACTAAAAACATCGGTGTTATCAGCGTGGTTCCCAGGCTGAAAGTCAAAAACACAGCACTGCCCCAGCTACTAAGAAGGAGAAAAATGACTGCTGTAGCTGAACCCAGGACACCGGGGAATCTGCTCTGGCACCTGGAGCACCTCCTCCCCTCCTTCTTCACTGACGTTGATGTCTGCAGAGTTGTTTCTCTCATGTTTTCTCACTGCTCTCTCCCAGCTATTGTGCAGCACTTTTTACCCTTTCTATCACACAGGCAGTACCAGCGTCACTCATGGACTCAGCTTTGGCCAGAAATGGGTCTGTCTTGGAGCCATCTGGAATTGGCTGTGTCTGACACGGGGGCAGCTCCTTGTGTCTTTTCAGAGAAGCCACCTCTGCAGTCCCCTAATTATCAAAACCTTGCCATATAAACCCAATACAACCTGTCAAACTGCTAACATGATCCTATTCAAGGAAGTCAGTGTGACATAGAAACAATCTTAATGTGATTACATTTACTGTGTCTCTCTTAAGAGACCTATCCTGCCAATACTGCTGACACCAGATTTCCAGTTTTATTTTCTGGGCATTAATACTTAAGGCAAAACTCTAAACATGCAGCTTATGAATGATTTCCAGCAAACACACAACTAATTTAGCTATTTGGTAGAAGAAAGACAAGACATGATGTGATACCTAAGACAGCTGTAACCCCTGTCAAAGACTTTCAAATTTTCAACAGTTGGTGGGAGCAGGAAAGGGAATGTATGTGCCTTCGGGGTACTGGAAGAGTAATGTTCTGATGGAAGAGGCATACCTTTTCAGGTTTCTATAAATTTTAAGATTTATAGGAAAAAGTGTTCTGTCCTGCATACAGCTACGGTATCAAGACATGTATTACTACACCTTGAGAAATTCAAGGCACAGGAAAGATTCTGACTAAGCAGAACTTTTGTAGTCTGCAGGGAAGAGGCTCTTTCCTGGCCTTAACAAAGTTTTTACATCCAGTCCCCATCTCCTACTTCACTCACAGCAACCTGGAACATTATAAAATTGAAGAAAAACTCCTGTTTCACCCCACGTTTCTGTAAAACTGGAAAGAGGTACAGTCTTTAATATGTTTAGTTTAGACCACACACACACACACACGCATGCATCCACATATATAAATAAAGCTGTCTGAAGATTACCATACTTACAAGAAGCCTTCATTAAAAGCACATTAAGGCATAACTATACACATATAATTTCTCAGTTTTACAACCCTGCAGAGTAGGCATGGATAGCAATTCTACTAGAAATAAAGAGGTAGGTTTCTGTAAAAGCACAGTGCTATGGCAATTGAAACTGATCCTGGAATTAGTTTTCTCCTAAATGATTCCCATTTTACAGTCTGCCAGTGTATGGGAGGCAGATCAAATACTACAGCCACTTTTCAAACAAGTGCTTTTTTAACTGCCTCCAGTGTTTTCTCTGTGTTTGGAAGAAGCTCCTTGTAAAAATTCATTAAACTAGATCACATCTTCCTCTGGTTCCTCTTTAAACTCTCCTTCACCATGAATTGTACAAAAAACAGGGTAGCACATAGCAAGCTCTGCCTACAGTGTTAAATTATTCAATCCTCGTCCTTCCTAGTGCTCTCCCATCTCTTGTACTTAATCCTGTACTAAATTCTGTGCAGAAGAAACTATTGCTTTCCCTGGGTTTCTACATGCTCTAGTCCAGTGGGATGCTGATCAACGTACACAGATAATAGTAGTAAATGAGCCAGCCACAAGTACTTTAATCTGGTGCTGAAGTGACCTGAAAGACATATTTCTGATTCATATAAACCACATGTTTTCAACTGGTTTGTCATTCAGTTTACAAAGTAGTAATAACACCAGTGTTTAATCACTCAAAGAACGTGTAAGATTATTTCAGCCCAGGCAATGGCTTCTTTCTTAAAATAACTCTACAAGAATATACTTATATTAGACATAAAAATCTCAAGAGCTTTATTATGTCATTCCAATGTTGATGCTTCTCTTTTCTGTAATTGCAACAGCTGATCTCAAACTGAAGGAGTATGCTACACAGCAGAAATAATTACGGCTGCAAGAAAATACTGACTTTGTGTTATTTTCTGTAATCACTGCAATCTCTCTCACAGATGCAGGTCTGTAATACCTGATCCAGAGGGGGAAAATAAAAAGAAAAATCAACTCCAACTCTCCCACTGATCTCTTATCTGAGATGCAGACTTCTGCTGTGTATTTCACTGTTCTTTCTCTGCCAGATCTCCCCTTGTTTTCCACAAACCTTTTCTTTTCCTGCAGAATTGTAATGAACAACTGGCAGCTGTCTGAAAACTGTACTGAGGTACTGCATTGGGCATGTTTATAGCTTGCCTGTTATAAAAGATTGTGAGAGATTTGTATTACCACTTGAGACAAAAAAACCTCCTGGAAATTGATCAATTTTTTTAATCATGTACCTATATATTTATTTTATTTTTATATATGTGTGTATATATATTTTTTCTCTGTACAGAGAAAGCTAGATCATTACATGTTTGCCAGTGATCCCAGAAGTGACAGCAGACTCGGTTATCTGTGACCTCTCTGAAAGCAAGCATATATCCATATTTACACAGACAGCTACAGGTACGTGTGTGTATGTATGTACTCTGTCACCAATGAGACTGGAATAAATACACGCTCTTCTCTTACCCATACGTTTCCCAAGTTTCACTCTGATGAAGCAAGCTAAGGCTATATCTCTGTCTCTCACAGGCTTCTCCAACATCCTCCTCCCTGTCAATATGTTTTAAGGTCAGGCACTCACAGGTCCAGCCTCCTCTTCTGGTTGTATGTGTGCAGTTCTATTTGCAGGGCATTCAGATAGGTTGATACTGAGAAGGTAAAGGCTGGGCAGTGTAATTCAGTACACAGTAGGGGGTACAATAAGAAAGCTCTTACATTTTATTTGTGTCCTTCAAGGCAGAAACAGAACATTGAAAAGTGTCAATTTTCATATGGGACAGCTGTTGTAATAATGGTTAAAACCTCATATGTCCGCAGTGTCATAAAGTAGCATTTCCTTTTCCAGATTACACAGGGAGGTGCTTTTCTGATTCATCAAATAAATGCACTATCACCTGGATTAGAATATCAGACTTTAGCAATGTTATAACAGGAACAGAGTATGCATTAGGATTTTCTTTGCTGTAGCAAAATAAAGATCATCTCTCACCTCCCACAGTGATTCCTGCCCACCGTGGCCCTCTTACCATGAACAAAACAGTCTAAGCATTTTGGGAAGCAGTAAGGTAT